GGTGTGATTACAGTCGAGGCTCTATATATTTTCCTTCTGTCTTTGTATGAGTTCCGCTTTTACTTTGTTCAAACTCAATCCTGAATTTCTGCTTAGAGAAAATTGATGGCAGCAGCACAACATTTATGTAAAATTGTGCATTAATAAATTATCTATGTGCATGATGACATAAAATTTAATAAGCTCCTTTTAATTTTAGCTTTACAAGAAATATGTTAAATGTACGGATAATTTTGCTTTTATCGTTTGAACCAATCACATGTCCTAACTACTGTGTTTAGTAGAACATGTAAATGTGAAAAAAATCTGTTAATAATTACATCTAATTAACACTAGAGTTCTAGCAGTATTTCTTATGGTTTTATATATAAAAGATTCCTTGTATTTTTCTTTGAAGTGGACTCTCTGGTTTTCATATTAAAAAAAAACAACACCTGAATTAAACTCTTGCTAATATAGCAAACACAAACATGGTTTCATAGAGAAAAACACTAGGGAAAAAAAGGTTTTTCAAGATTGTCTTGAAACATTGTGTAAATGTACACAAAAATGCACAAAATGTTTTTACATACTTGCATACTTGAAAGTTCAGTATAGCTTTCATAGACCCTATACATATACAAGATGTTATGTCATTCTAAGTTTTACAGTAATAAAGGCTGAGTTAATTTGAAGTTAATCTGTTGATAGAAGAGCTCCTTACGAAGTATTTTAGGAAGTTTTAACAAAACGCAAAAATGAGTAATTCTTGAGACTTTTTTTATAGAGTTTACGACAAGCTTAGGCTGAGTAATATCCTGAAGCAGGCATTCTGTACTTTTCTCCTATTCTTAAATAGATAATTCTTTTGTTAGAGAAGATGAGACCTTTTTGTTCCCATGTGTATTGGCAATGACTAAGTCGACCCATGAGTCCTTTTTTTTAAAGCGAGGCAGAGGTTATCTTGTTTTGATTAATAATCTTTTAAATAGCAAGCACTGCTTTTACCTGCTTCAGCACTTTATCAAAACAGTAAAGCAAAGCTAACAATTCCAGCTTTAGACAACTTGCAAATGAATAGTCCAGGTCCTCATTTTCTGCTCCTAGTTTTAGCATTAACTTGATGTGGTAGAGCACAAAGATTGATACCATTTACTGCAGCAGCAGCTAATTTTAGTGAGGACTGTATCCTGCCTTAACTCTAAAATTCTATGGTGATTTTGGCCTGGAAGTCATTCGATTCTGCAAGTTGATCTAAGGACCTGGTCTTTCTTGGAAGCATAGAAAGATATGATCTATTTCCTGAAGAACATAAACTGGCAACGTAAAGCTAGAGGACTTGTGGATGAGACTGATTAGGGAGTTTTCTAGCAGAAGCAGAGAAGTGCAGATTAATTTCTGGTGTGCAAAATGATAGAAGTCTTAGACACGAAAAGATGTTAAAATGGTCCAGAAAAAAGACTAGTTTAGTATAGGCAAATAAATAGAAAGAAAAAGAAGTTGACTAGTGCAGAGTGTAAATCATGGAGGGTGGTGAAGCTGAGATCTAGGATCCTGGATTTAAGTGATAAAACACAGGAGACTGGAATGAGGAAAGATGAAAAATCAGAATCTGGAGAGGTGAAATATGTCAACAACCAAGACATGAATTATGCATGAAAGAAATATTTATAGGTGTAGAAATAGTCAACAGAGATAAGTTATATTTCCAGTTCTTTCGTATTTATATCCATACTTTAGCCATGAAAAGGCTGCTGCTGCAGCAGCCTGTTCTATGGACACTTGCATTAAAGGTGCAGAACTTACTGAGTTCTTTCAGTTTAATGGAGAATTGAGAAATGCTAGTTTGAAATTAAGCTTTTTGAATCAGAAAGAGTTTTATTTATTTTTTTATCCTCTTCCAAATCCAGCAATACCAGCGGTTGATCTTATTTAGCCTGTGACCTTAATCATCTTGGCTTAGCTTCCACAAAAAGATTTTCTTTTTGACAGCTTCATTTTTCTGTTAGAATGAAGCTGGCTTGTGAAGTCTTTGTTATGGATGATGATGGTTTTCATTAAAGGTAGTTTCATTAATCGCCTTGAAAATCCCTGCAATAGCAGGGATTCAAATAAGAGATTCCTGATAGTTTCTGGCAGTCTGGAGATACACTGTGGAACCACTTCCATACCTCTGGTCACTTACGTGTTTTGAGCCTTGTTCTTAGATGTGAGAGGTTGTAATAAGTGGAGCCTGAAAGGTAATTGCACTTAGGCAAGGCAGCATGCAATAGGATCATGAACAGTGCTCTAGCCTGTTGGAAATTAAGTGTCCGCCTTTGCCAGGTTTTGAGGCCTTTGAGCAAAGCTGGAGTTCTGACACAATGTGGAATGTAGTTCTGTTGAAAACATCAGTGTGGGCTGTTTTGGTAGTTGATATTGTAATGGAGAAGGTGAATTACTGAAAGCGCACCCCTAAATCTCGTCAACAAGCAGTGCATTGGGGAACAGCTCATGTTCACTCGCATGTTATCTCTCTTCCATCAGTAACTATGTGACTGGACAAGGGTTACAGCTTGCTTCCCTATTACATTGATAGATACAAGGTGTTTATAATGGTAGTTGCCAGGTGGTTGCCAGGTAGTTGCCATGGATTTGCGAAGCCCCAGTATTTCTGCAGCATTGTATTGTTCATACTGCTTGCTGTATTGTCTCCTGCGTTACATGATCTCTGCAGCAGAGCCATGATCTGAGCTGTCTGGTTCAACTGTCCTTTCCTGACATCAGTGTCCTCTCCAGAGTTCAGATGCTGTTTACAGCTACAGCTTGTTAGCAATTGGGATGTGTTAGTTGCCTTTGGGAGCACATCTTCTGGTGCAGTTTCATCTGGAAAGGATCCACTTTGTTGTGCTCCAAGACTGTAAACTGAAGCACAGCAAGTGAGGATTCCTGGGAGGTTCACTTCAAAAGTGCATTTGAGATGCAGAATAAATTGACAACATACACACGACCTGTACACCCTCATTTTCAGCGGTGAGGCACAGGAGAGGCTGGTACAGGCTGTACTTTTCTGCCTTCTGGCTGGCAGGGTGCCTTGTATTTCACAGGCAAGTCTTGTGTGAGAAGAGCTGTCATGGAAGGGGGGTCAGCGAGGCACTGTGACTTTTAGGGAGCAGATGGGTGGTAGCGGATGTTTGTGTCATGCCTTTCGTATCCTCTTTCTGAGCAAATGCTGTTGGTGACAGTGACAGTTTGGTCCATATACGGAAAGCACTATGTAAATATACAAACCCTGTAGTATAAAATGAACATTATATACTGCATTGTTTCTATTTTGGCATAAGCTTATGTTCTGATGCTAAGTCAGGAACAGTCCAAATGAGCTTTAAGAGCTTATTCCTAATGAAACCTTTCAGAATTGTTCTGCATAGATCTAAGTAGAAAACAGAATTGGAGTCTCATGTAGAATCAAAGCAAACAAGACTGACAGGAAGGCCAGAAGCTCACTGCAGTTCACCTGCTGCCAAACTGGGATCAACATGTTAACATGGTGTTCCCCTCCACAATCTTTCTTGATATTGACAGAGATGTCTTCATACCTGCAGATATTGTACAGTGCTGCTTCACTATCCTTGAAGTTCTCAACTATTCTCCACTATGTAACCAGGATATTTGCTTGTTGCAAATTAAGTCTATTACTTTTTCCCTCACTAATCTAAATACAGACTCTTTAGGTCTTTCAGAAGCTTTTTGTGTATTTGAAAATTTCTCAACACCTTCTGTTAACCCTAAAGCTTTATTTTGGGCTGCTCTAATTTGTCTTTTGACTTTTAGTAGAATATATTAAGAAAAGGCAGGTTTCTGTCTTTTTAACTTCCCATTGATTGATAATAGTTTGCATATTATGAATAACAAGAGAAACCTCACATAGTATATTTAATGTTTATTATGAAAGAATGAATTGTAATAAGTCATTATGAATTTGCTTGTTGGTTGGGGTTTTTTTGTGTTTTTTTTTTTAGAGAGCAGTAAGGATATTTGCTCCTTCTATGAAAGGAAAGTTTATTGATAGGGAGAAAAAGGAAGCAAAAGATCCAGAGTGTACCTCCATTATGTGCAAAAAATCTCTGAAGATATTTTGTGAAGCAGTACAAAAAATAAACTCCTTTTCCTGGGAAGGAAGAAGAGTACAGAAATGCTACTATGGCTGTTGATACGTTTAAGTAATTCTTGAAAAATTATTGTTCAGAGAATTCAATCTAAACTTATCTAGTCAGAAGACTCATACTCACTGTTTTGGAATCATTGTGTTGATGTTTCAGGCTTCCCACATGGTCTTACAAAGCTTGGCTTCTTCCTTGTTAGGAAAAGTTTTATTTTTCAAGGGACATCACTGCTAGTATGTTATAAAACTACCATTAATGTTTTGTAATAATGGATGAAACATGTGTACTCCCAAATGTATGCATTTTCCCAGGGAAATGTAAAATGTTTTGTAACTTTGGACATTTAGTTTCACAATGCAGTGGGCACAGATAAATTGTATCTTATAGCAAGAGGAATATGAAAAAAAAAATGCTGACTGACATGAGGTTTATGTGATCACTACACATTATTCCTTGTGGCAGTATAGTCACCATGCCCCAGGCAAGGCCTCAAACGCATTTGTACTGTGGACTTGAATTTGGAGGCAAATCCAAGCTGCACCCTACCCAAATGATCCTTTTATTTGAAGCTTTGACAAGACTGACATTGACTGAAGCAAATATTTGAATAAGTCAGGAAGCAAGCATGTTTTGGCAAGTAGCTTAACAATCTCAGAAGCCCCAGTTACCAGCTATCTTAGCTAATATCAGATATAGATACGTACAGAAAGACCCTGACTGAAAGGTTGTTTAAATATAAGATAGTTAGGATATAGTGCACTGCTGAATAAATGAACAGTTTAACAGAACAAAAGAACAAGTTGTCTTGCTTTTGCATGGCTCAGTCCAAGAGTTAAAGGCGAAAACCTAATAAATATTTCATTTGTCTTGTTTTAGAACGTCAAGCGTGTGCATCTATGGCTGGTTCCAGTGCCCTTCCCTCCAATGTGGCTGGGATCAGCAAAGAGCTGATCGAACTGCAGCACCTCATCCAGTTCCCAGAGGAGGTTGCCAGCATGCTGACCGAGCAGGAGCAGGAGCTCTACCGGAAAGTCTTGCCCATTGACTACCTCTGCTTTTTAACCAGGGATTTGGGTAACGCCGAGTGTCAAAGCAAGCTGCCATCTATTAAAGCTTCCATATCTGCCTCTATTCTTTCCTCCCCCAATGGTGAACATAATGCTGTAGAAGATCTTGTGACAAGATTTAATGAGGTAAGACAGAACTTTTAAATTACATTTCATAAAGGTTGTTACCTGATTTGTGGGTTAGTTTTTTCCTTTGTCTCTCAGAGCTGAATTTAGCTGTCATGACAGATTTTTAAAACGTAAGTTAAGATGACCAGATGATTTTAGCTAAATAACTTCCACTGAATTTAATAGGAGTTATGTGACCTAATGCTCAGTGAGTTTGGAAAACTGCAACCAAAGTTTTTCTTGCACATTGTAAAGTAAACAGGAAAAAAAAAAAGACAGCCTTGTAGTTCTTTGTATTTATACTGACAGTATGGGGTATACTTTCAGTCAGTTTATTATTTTATTCAGGAGCTGGAGTTTTATTTATTTGTTTTGGATTTTTGTAGACTAAGCATGATCTTAGGAGTCAGCACAGAAGTATTATAAACTAGAAGTTTCTGTATAATTTAACTAATCTGCACTATTTATTTATTAATTTAATCACCCAGTGTGTCTTGAATGTTGTTACACAAAGAAGTTTCATTTGGCATGACACATTTCCATTTTACTTTATTTTTAGTAAGGTGATCTGATGAGCTTCACAGTAAATCAATCAAGCCTTGAGAAAACTGTAAAAAAAAATCCACCCAAAAAACCCAAAGCAAAACAAAACAAAAGCACTCCTAAATAAAACCTTAGGGTTTAGATGAACAGTTTCTTTCTTCCATTTTTGAGTGAATCATACCTAATGTTAGCAGTTCCTAGATTCATAAAAGTGGAATAAAAGTAAGGTAGTTTTGACTTACACTCTTTTAGTTTGTTATCCACTGCATTCTTATGCTTTAATAAGAGATGAAATTTGGGCGAGTATCAAAAAGACAGAACAAAATTAAGTACATAAAGCAGAATATGTATTAAACCTCAGTGAACTTCCTGCTTCCTGGGCAGATAAGAATCAGCGACTGAGTATTTAGCATGTTTCGAAACATTCCTGTTTCTTGCATGTTATTTAGATTTAGGAACTAAAATAGTGTAAATATGCGGGCTTCTCTCACCTAATTCTGTTATGTGAACATAGATAAAAGCTGCAACTAAAAGTTGGTCTTTAGCCTAAAAATTACTTAAATCAGCTCTAGTTACTGTATTTAGGAAGATACTGTGGCTGGTGCATAGCTGGAGAGGAATCTATCTGCTGACCCAGCGAGGATCCTCCTTCCTGTGGTGTTTCTCTTACAGTGATCGTCATAGGGGGGGCAATGAGAAAAAGGTGAAGAGGTCACGCTCAAGTATGACCTGGTGAGGTACAATGTCAAAGCAGTTTGTTAGGACATTCTGCAGTTAGCTCTACAAATTAGATTGATCGTCATGTGTTCTGATACTGAACAGTCACAGGATTGAAAAGAAAGTAGGTGACGAAGAAGTCTCATCAGAAATGACTGAGGCTATTCCATATCACTTGTAATTTTAACATTAGAGTTGCCTTTTGGTGAAATGGTCAACATTATCTTTTAATGTTAGAGGTCTGTAACTTTGCAGTTACTGTAGTCTAGCAGTACTTGTTTGGTTATGCTATAGGATAATTTTTAATATAATTCCTGACTATGTGGTACATAGATTATATACTGCTTAGTGCAATGGATTACTTTAAGTATTATCTGGAATAACTTTTTTTTAAACATAGATGTTATATGTTTAAATGGAGTTATTTTACAATATTTACTGCTTGTAATAAATCAGTGTTTTGCTATCTGCTTTATCTTCTGGTGGAATATATCAGTTACCATAGCCAATCACAAGCGTGAGCTTTCAAAATGTCTTTGTTTATAAATGGCAAGAAAATTCTTGTGCAAAGCGTCATGCTTTTGTTGGCAAAAGTCAGTGAGCACTTGCTAATTTTTTTTGGCATTGCCTATAGAAGTACTGAAGTGTATTTATAATGTGGGAGCCAGAATGACTTTTAGGGTGACAGGCTTCTAATACATAATAGGAAAAAAATAATTCCATGCCATTGTTCTGCTAAACGAGCAACTGTACTATATGGAGGATTTTTCATACAGCAGTATGGTTTCTAGTAATTTCTCTGACACCACATATTGATAACACTTGTTTAAAATGACAGTCAATAATTGCTGTTTTGTGACACAAAGGAACTTTTTTATTTAATAGAAGAAATAATGTTGTTTTCATGGAAGCTTAGATTGAATGAGGGCTGCAGGAGTGTTATAAATTAATAAAAATAATGAAGATTAAAGTATTTTCCAATTATTAGGTCCAGAGGAGGGCCATGAGGATGATAAGAGGGCTGGAGCACCTCCCTTATGAAGATAGGCTGAGAAAGTTGGGGCTGTTCAGCCTGGAAAAGAGAAGGCTGCATGGAGACCTCACAGCAGCCTTCCAGTATCTGAAGGGGGCCTACAAGGATTCTGGGGAGGGACTCTTCATTAGGGACTGTAGTGGTAGGTCAAGGGGTAATGTCTTCAACAGGGGAAGTTCAGGTTAGATATAAGGAAGAAGTTCTTTACTGTGAGGGTGGTGAGGCACTGGAATGGGTTGCCTGAAGTGGTGAATGCTCCATCCCTGGCAATGTTAAAGGCCAGGCTGGACGGAGTCTTGGGCAACATGGTTTAGCATGTTGTGTCCCTGCCCATGGCAGGGGGGGAGGAACTAGATGATCTTAAGGTCCTTTCCAACCCGAACTATTCTGTGATTCTATGATTCTATGAAAATATCTTTTTAAAAGTGAGTTTAAGTGAAAAGTAGGGGGAAAAAATTTGGTCTTATTCACGTAAATTTTATTAGAACTATTTACTGTTTAAATTCAGTAACTCACAGAAACCCCAGTTCATGGCTGAAGTTGCAAACTCCCATTGAGTGCAGGGTGCAAGATCGAGTGGTAGATATTGGGAAACACCACATGATTCCTTTATACTTTAAATATGTTTGCTGTTCCAAAACTGTTTTCTAGATGTGAATGATTTAAATAGTTATTGGTGAGATACATAGAGTATGAGTATCTTATAGTCATTTGTTTAAACCTTTCGATTTGGTGTTGGTTTGTGTTGCTTACTTTGAATTACAGTATTTAGACCTAAGTGGGGTCTAAAAGATATAGGAAAGACTTACACAAAAGAAAACACTTACACTGAGTGGTAAGCTGTTAGCATTTGGCATGGAAATAGTCTATGAAGATTTGCAGAACTGAATCAGAGAACAGTTGCCCTCTGCAGTAGGCGAAATTAGTACTTGAAGACTATTAAGATGGCTGAATGTGCAGTAGATAACTGCTGTTATTTTTCCTACTCAGTTCTCATTTGTGGAAAAATGTAATAGTAGGCATACTGTGTAACACTAGATGTTCACTGTAATGTGGATTTTCTTTTGCTGTATTATCTGGGTAAGGTGTTTTGACTTAAAAGTACTGAAAGTGATTCACTGATCCGTCAGGAACATTTCCTAAATTTTCTTGTCTATAGAAAGGCAGGATGACAGTAGATGGGGCTTTTACCAACTTCAGTATTTCCATATATCAGTACCTTATTTTAACATCTTGAGAGTCTTGCAAGATTTCTGAAAATTACTGGGTCTCTTAGTGTGACAATGGAAATACATTTTTGACAGATACTCTTGGTCTGAGATCACAGTGTTGTGAGCCTGAGAGGAGCTGAAAATTGTGAAAAGGATGAAAAGAAATCAAGAAACCAAGTTAAGTATATAGCGAGAAATCTGTATCAAAGCTAACCCAACACACAAGGAGGAAAGTTGTGGTTATGCCTTAGGCCAGAAGGACTGGGTTGTGTGAGGCTGTTCCTTCACAAAGGTTGAAAAGGCTTTCAGCCAACCAGATGTTAACCAGTATCTTAGTGTTACCAAGTGACAGTGCAAGAAATAAGTAGCAATAGGTAGAATAAATTTAGTTTTGTGGGCCTTGCCTGATTATTTGTTTATTTATTTATTTATTTTAATAGCAGCTCTATTCCTGCTTTAAAGCCAAGGTAACCAACTTACATGTTTTGGAGAGCTCCTTTTTTACTGTCTTTGTGGCAAGATTTCCACAGGCTGCTTACATCTTGCCCGAAGATGAGCCACAAAAAACCCCCACAAAATGGGATGGGATATATTCTAGGATTGTGTTTCATTAGCATTTTAAAAGTTTCAGGTCATTGTATCTCTCAAGTCTGAAATTCACAGGGAAATAAAATATTCACAGGAAAATAAGAATCTTATAATCTGCTAATGTTTGTATGCAGGCTTTACTGTCTGATAGAGTTTTCAGATAGATAGAAGTTCATATGACATATAGCCCAGTCACTAAAGATTTGCAATGTTTACATATGTAACAAGTTTTTTCATGTTTTGCTTCCCTGGAAGTACTATAGAGGATGATAGTCATGGTGAGATTGCCACTGAAGCTTAAGTAACTTCTATAGTGCTGCTATAGAAAGCCTGGTCACTACTGTTCAAGAAATAGTTCATAAAACTAAAGTTAAATTAAAAAAAAAAAATAAAAATTCAAAGAATTAGAGAATTTTCCAACATGTGGAGTAGATGCAGTAGATTTGAAAAAGGGAAAGTTAAAAATGGTCAATAACCGTAAAAGGATGAGAGATGCAGATGAAAGGTATTACTGAATCACTGTGTTTGTATACTACACTGCAGAAAGAATATAGATCACTATGTAATAATTTTCAGGTATTTAATGAGGAGGAGAACAGAACTGAGAGAAATGATACCATGCTCCTGATGGATTTGAAATACACATTTTAGAACTAGTGAAAATAAATAGGTTTGCTTGGGAAGAAATGCATCCTAGTGTTCTGCGATTAGCAAGGTGCTAATTCCCACGTAAAGAACAAATCCAGTCAATCACTTTGTTGGAGTAATGTAATAGTATGGCATCAAAACACTGAAAACCAAACCAGGAATTTTGTTTGGTTTACAAAAAAGATGAGAAATTTTTTTAAATATTGTGTTGACCTTCATCTACAGCTCTTCTAGGCAGTGCGTGCACTATCTTGGACATCTAAATGTGGTTGAAATTG